CCCCCCCCCCCTCTCCTTTCAGCCTGCCCTATCCGTTAAAACTAACATTGTACAGAAAAAAACTGTTATTTTGTTTGGAGCCTACACACCTATACTAATATTACCTGTTCAAATGCGGCTTTATCGGCATGTCGTATTGATTCCGTAAAACTTTCGTTTACAAAACGTCAATATTGAGTATTTGATATTCAAATGACAACGAAGGTTTTTGCTATTGGCTTGTAGTTTTTGTCTTTTTGTCGTAGAGGGATTTCATATAATTATTCAAGGTCAAGTAATAAAATTGGATAAACATTGGACACGGTGATGATTGTACCTGAATTAAGATTCTTTTGTATTAAACTAGCTGTCGCCCCCGACTCCGTCTGCGTGGAATTAAAAAAACAAAAGTAGTGTGTGTGTGTTCTTCCAGACTATCCTCTATATCTGTGCTACATTTCATCTTGTGAGAGAAACATCCACCCATAACCGGATTAAATAGTATTCTATGTCCGTCTCCTGGCTTTATGCTACCTCCTCACCAATATTTAGCCACATCGGTAAAGTCGTTCGACTTATTAATAGTGTAACTAACACGACTTTCTTTTATATATATATATAAGAATACTAGCTGTTCCCGTGCGACTTTACCCGTATAAAATTATGATTTTTTTTAATTGCTTACATTTGTCAAATTATTAATAGCAAATGTCAAAATGACATGACATGACATGACAAACCTTAGCAATCTTTCTTTCTTAATGTTGGCAGCAACTTATTGTCTCTTTCCCACATTAGGGTTTTTATCCAAAATATTTACTCTCTAAGTTAAATGGCGTGAAAGTATATAGCCTAAAGCGTGACGTAAGTGTAGGGCTTTTTATATGCTGTAATTGCTGACATGTTAGGCAACAAAGAAGTGTGTGTTTACGCTTTATTATAATAGTATACATAAATATTTATCCGAAATATTTAAGGGTTTTTTTTAAATAAAAATGAAACATATATTAATTAAACGTATATTTGTTTTCAGATTTGTTTACAAGTTTGTATGCGACCTGCGCGAGCTACTCGGCTACGGAGCGGACGAATTGGCGGAGCTCGTCAGAGAAGTGCACGAATCTAAACAAGAGGAAAATACATAAAACACATTATTACAACAAAAAAACATACGAATTCAGTACTTCCTTCTTCGGAAGTCGGTCAAGAATAGTATATCCTAAATATTATGAAAATTTTATATGAACTATTAATTTGAATCTTTCAAAACTCATGAATTTCTTTGTAAATTGAATTGTCAAATCAGTCTGTCCTATTTCTAGTCGCAAAACGTTAGTAATATCTTTTAAATACATTATAGTTCGGTTTCAATGGAAATGAGAAATAAACCTATCTAAATACCTTTATAAGGCTATCCACAGACTTATTTAAAAAAGACATGTATATATCAACAATTTAACGTTCCAAACTAAATCCATAGATAATAAATGAAATTTTTCATTTCCATTGAATTATAAAATTGCAATGAATATTATATAAATATTGTTTATGTGTAAAAAGATCTTTTTGACCCAATGTTTGTTTCAAAATTTTGAGTAAATTGAATTGTTTTCGATATTTTTTATCTGAAAAATGGCTTTCACGTATTTGTTTAGGTAATAAAAATGTAATTTAATATAACTGTAGGCACTCATTTCCAACGCTTTAATTTAATCACTAAAATTGTGAATAAAATATAGTCATCTATTTTTAATAATTAATTCTAAGGTTATCTGTACAAATAAAGTTTATTTTGTTACCCCAAAGTGTTTTTTTATAGGAGTTTTATAGGTTTTTTTTTATTGCGGGTTATTGTCCAACAAACTTGAGGTAAGGTTTTTTTTGTCTATTATATGTTTTTAACAGGTTATTTTTTTCAGAGGGAGATGAACAATAAGTATTTTAGTACTTATTAAAATTATTTAGTTAAATACAATAATGCAAAAATCCAGTATATTTTTTGTCGAAATCATTCGTCTATGATGCATAATTGTTATTGCAAAAAATAAACCGGTTGAAATTTAAAAAAATAAATGTCGGAATTTTTCGTTAAACGAACAAAATTAAGGAAATTAAAAAAATAATGAATAACTAAGCTAATGCGAATGAGAATATATAATAAAGTTTTTCTTGTATTAAATGGTGGTTTATTTGTAACTGCACATGGGAGTCGAAACTTAATGTTGCCTGCTTAAGGCTCTTATTACACTGGTTTTGAGTCAGAACATAAAGCAGTTGTTATTTTTTGATGTCTTAAAATACTACGGCGATTATATTTAAAGACTACGTCTTTCGACAACATAACAACAGTATTAAGTATTAAATTACAACGATATAACTCACATCGGGGAACTACTAAGAATAAGCAAAAATTAGAAGTTTTAATTAGATTGAACCTGGCACACGTGTCTTCCACTGTGTTACTTGCCTAATAAGTGTATATTAATTGCTTCCCTTATTTACGAAAACTCTTATTGGCCCTAGACAAAGAACACTCACGACGTTCCTCCTACATAAGGTATGGTACATCTTCTCTATTGATATATTTAACTTCAAACTCTCATGGTTTTTGTTAATGTAACGTTTGTAAGATACGGGTTTTGTTCAGTCTGGCCGTGAACATTACGTATGCCGAAATATCGCGAGCTACAACAACCCCATCATTGTAAAAACCCCGTGTCTTACGAACATCATGTTGCTGGGCAGTAATTGTTTTTAAAGATTGCTGCACTGATAATCTGATAAAGATTTAGAAATCTTGCAGGTTTAGGCATTTCCAGCTGTATTCGGCCTGTCAGCTGGGTTGCTTGCAATTTTTCAGTAATGGATCCGATTGTAGCTTTGGAGCAAAATGCGATTGATCGACAAAAACCTATGATCGATTCGTTAGCTCACGGTGACTCAGATGTGCAGGCATTTTATAGACAGAAAACTATATTTGTGACTGGTGGTACTGGATTTTTGGGAAAACTGCTAATTGAGAAACTTTTTAGGTTAGTATTTTTGTCGCTAATTTTTGGATAGGAAACCAAAACCAACCTTTTAGATGAGACCACAGACAAATCTTTTTAGAGTGCGCCCAGACCTTTGACTAAACTATATCACAACTTTTCAATCACGCTTTAAGAAGTGAAGAGCGTCGGTGGCTCAGTGGTTTAAACACTTGACTTGTACTCTTCAGGTCTTGGGTTCGAATACCGCCGCCATGTACCAATGTGATTTTCGAATTTTCATATGTACATAATTTACCCGACGTTCTTGCGGGGAAGGAAAACATCGTGATGTAACCTGCACATATCGGCGAAGAAATTCAAAGATATATGTGAAGTCAACCAACCCGCACTTGGCCAGCGTGGTTGACTATGGCCTAGTCACCCTAACTTTAGGGTAGGCTCCGAGCCCCTCGGTGGGGACGTATAGTGAGCTGGTGATGATGACACTGCTCCATTTTTACTTGTGCAACTTAACAGTTGAATAGGCTGCGAAACAATCGACAATCGCACAGCTATTGTGCGATAGTTTAGTCAAAGGTGTGCGCCGGCTCTAGTCCCTGTTCAAATGGAGAAACCTAAATATATTTAATTCGTTGTTGGTGTCTAAGAACTTTTTACTGTAACTTGGATTGTGTATTCACAATATGTATACTAAGGTCTATGTTAATTGTTCAGGTTCATTGTTTTAATATGCATTGTTCAGTGTAAACGTATGTTAGTTTGAATATATTAGGTGGAACTGTTTTATAATTTACTAGCTGTTCCCGTACGGCTTCATCCGCATGATATTACAAAAACTTATCAAAATCCAAATTTTTATTTGCTAAGAACTTAAGTAACCATGGCAACCTTGAATTGTTTTGGCTTGTAGTTGCTGTCCCTTTCTCGCAGAACGATTTTCTTCAATTTATACTCCATCAATAGCGCGAAAATGTAAAAAGTGTGCGTTACCGTAAGACTTTTATTTTAAAAATAGTTATTCAAAAACATACTGTGATTACTGACTTCCTGCATAACAATGAAGTATGTGATTACGCTTTATTCTATTACTAGCTGTTTCCGTGCGACTTCATCCGCATAAAAATATGAAAATTTTAATTTTATTGTTTACATGTGTCAAATTATCAATTGCAAATGTCAAACTGACATGATGACAAACCATGGTAACCTTGCTTCCTCAATGTTGGCAACTTGTAGTTTATGGTCCCTTTTCCACATGAGGCTTTTTCCAATTTATTTTCTCCCTAAGTTTAAGAGCGTTTAAATATATAACCTAAAGCGTGTCGTCAGTGTTGGGCTTTTTATTAATGGAATGAATATTCAAAATTATGCTGTGATTGCTGATGATTACAGTTTATTACATTGGTATAGATAGAGTATATGATAGAAGTTTAAATAATTGTTTTTATTTTACAGAACATGTGATCTTAAGCGAGTTTATCTTTTGATACGTTCTAAAATGAATTGCTCTCCGGTAGAAAGGCTATCTGATATTACCAATGACTCGGTAAGTCAATCAAATAAAATGTGTATTAACCTAACTCTGGCCTTGAAGAATGAACTAATTAATTGAATTGAGTGAAATAATTAAAATAATGTTTGATACTCTTAGATATTTGATAGCGTACGGCGTGTAAATCCTTCGTTTGCGAATAATATTACAGCCATAGAGGGAGATGTGTGTGAACTAAATCTGGGCATCTCAGATGCTAACTGGCACAGGCTCGCTGAAGAGGTATGTTTATCAGGAGTTCCGACTGCCGAAGCATTTACATAAAACATCCTTCCATTGACGAAAGAAATTACAGAAAGTACACGATTCTAAAGGCAAAATATTCTTAACATAGAAAACTTGACACGTAAATATTGTACAACATTTTTTTTCCAGTAATAAATTTAAATAAAGTAATGGCCGCCATATATGCAGTTTTTACGATTTAGTTGTTTTTGATATTAGCAATTAGGTCTGTCCCACCACTGGCTGATAGATGCACAGATAGCTTAAAAATAACGTCACTGTCAGATACGGTGACAAATTCGACATTTTCATCACATATTTTACACTTTCGATTGTTATCTGACAACTTAGAATTTGGTGGGACAGGCCCTTAATCTCCATTCATCAAGGGCGGAGTCAGGGGGGGGGGTCCGTCCCTGAGCTGGTTGGTCAAGAGCTTGACAAAATATATTTACATATTTTGTCAAGCTCCTGACTTGACCACGACTATGTGACAGCCCCCCCTCTGGCGCCAAAGCTGGATCCGCCCTTGTTAACCATCACGAACTCACTATACGTCCACGTCTAAGTTAGTTGTTATTGACATTAAGTCTAACCAGTATATACAATTTTAGGTAGATATTCTATTTCATATAGCAGCAAATGTAAGGTTTGACACGAGTTTGAAAGATGTGGCTTTATCTAACGTAAGGGGGACTAGAGAAGCGTTGACGCTCGGCAAAGCGTGCAGGAATCTAAAATCCTTTGTCTTCTTATCAACTGCATTCTCTCAAGCTACATGCGATGTTATCGGAAAAACAGTGTCTGAGGAGTTTGGCTCCTGTCCAATAACGCCAGATGCATTTATACATATCGCAGAGACTTATAATACGGAACAATTAAACAACATTGCACCGACGTAAGTTACTTCTTAATTACTTTTAGACAATAATAATTTCCGCGACAGACTATTCATTTCCGCGAGAATGGCGCGTAATTCCAAATATGATACTTCCGAATGACATTGACAGATGTCATAGGGATGGGACGTGTACGCCGATGATCTAGTGTTGCGCTATTCTTAACACTATTAACTGTTTTGATCGTAGGAGTCTAGTAAATTGTTAGTTTAATCAAAGTAAATGAAAATAATGATAGAAGTTATTGTATTTGTATTTTGTTTTGATTTGACTGATTTAAAAGACGACATTTTTTGATATGTAATAGGAGTTATTAATTTTATTGTGAATTCAGAGTTTAATAATAAATAACTATTGATTGTAGATTAGTTAAGGGTTGGCCAAATACGTATACATTTTCGAAAGCAATATCCGAAGAGCTTGTGCGCACGATGGGCGCTGATTTACCGGCATGCGTAGTACGACCTGCGATAGGTAAGTTTTCAATAACTATACAAACTCTAACAACAGAAACATACGAATTAGGATGTAATTAAATGCGATATTGTTGCGATTTTAAAAGAACATGACCCTCATGTTATTGTGTCTGCATATGTTTTTCAATTTCAGTGACTCCTACTTATACTGAACCAGTACCGGGTTGGTTAGACAAGAGCACTATCTATGGATCTAATGGCGTAAGTTTATACATTTCTATTTCATATAGTTTTTTAAAAGGGTTACCATACACGGACTGCTTTAAACCGTTAACCTTTTACTTGTTGCAAAATACGAACTTTTACCGCATATGGCAGGTCTTAAATGTAGAGTAGTAATTAATTTTCCTTTTGTAGGTAGCACTAGGTATACTTATGGGAGTGTTACAAGTTATACAATGCGACATAAAGTGCCGAATAGAGTTGGTGCCAGCTGATATGACGACAAACGCTACGATAGTGGCAGCCTCAACTACTGCCGCTAAACGCACCACCGGTTACCTACAGACAGACATCTATACAGTAACCAGCACTAGAAATCCTATCAAATGGAGTAAGTAGAACCGGAAATTACTGATAGAAGACATTTTAATAAAAAAATATCTCGATGGCTTAGGAAATGTTTGGTGTCCTCATGCTCTCTAGAATTGCCATATCTAATAGTTTATAACATCCTGAATAAGAACGTTGTAATGGAAGACACTTAGTTATTGATAAATTATACAGTTAAGTAAATTGTCGGTGTAGAAAAAAATTCAAACACTAATATTGTTTTATGTTTGAAGCAAGGTTGCGTTGCGAATATTATGGCGGCTCGAATCTTACGAGTACCGCAGAACACTATCTTAGTGTTATGGAGGAAGATGGGGAGGGGTAGAGGTTACTGCGTCATCTGGCAAGATATTTGAAAACATACTATCATCACCAGCTCCTTCTACGTCCTCCCACTGAGGGGCTCGGAGCCTACCCTAAGTTAAAGTGACATTAAGTCAACTACGCTGGTCAAGTGCGGGTTGATTGACTTCACGCATGTCTTTGAATTTCTTTGCCGATATGTAAAGGTGGCGTCACGATGTTTTCCTTTGCTGTTAAAATGTCGGTTAAATTATGTACATATGAAAATCTATTGGTACATGACTAAATTCCAATCCAGGACCTGAGGATTACAAGTGAAGTGTTCAACCCTTGAGCCAGCGACGCTCGCGTAACCATAGTATAACAAGGATAATTTTTAGGACAGGCGATATCAATCTTTGCAGAACAAAGGTTTAAATTCGCGTCTCCAAAAACAACTTGGTTCATTAACCCCATCCCTATCAAGAACTCGGTCATGTTTACGTTATTGTTTTGGTTATTTCACTATATACCTGGGTATATCTTCGATGGATTGAACATAATCACAGGTAAAAAGGCACAGTAAGTAGTACTCACTATCTTAACATTTTTATATATAATACAAGGTGGCAATCGAGCAAGCGGACACCTGAAACCACCGAAATGCGATCGCTGTCCATAAACATCCGCAATTGCAGATACGTTGCCTACCCTTAATTGACGGAGGAGGAGACGCACATTGAGAGGACATTTCCCCTTCCTATGCGTTTCCTCCACTGTCAGAACCACTTTTCCTTCCAATCCATTCCTCTTAAGAAAAGGGTGGAAAGGGAAAGGGAAAGTTAAATGTAGCAAATAGGAAAGGACAGAAGCGCCATTCAAAATAATGCGGGAGTGTCAAATTAAACTTGTTAGTGACCTAGTCAAGGATGACACCAGAAGGTGGCAATTTTGTTTGTCTTATAAAAGCGGACGCACACATTTAACTAAACTATCACACAACTGTTGCGATTGTCGATTGTTTCGTAGCCAACTGTTTAATTGCACAACTAAAAATCGAGTAGAGTGTACTCCATATAAGCTCATAGGAATCAAAGCGAGACAACAGTTGTGCGATAGTTTAGGTGCGCGCGGTCTAATGCATAACATGTTGAATGAATTTGTTTCAGATTCGTTAAACTGTACACTAAAACGCATAAACTTTTGTCTGTGTTGCAATATTTTTGTGTCAACCAATGGCATCTGAGTGACACTAATCTTGACAGTTTGTATAACAGTTTGTCAGAAACTGACAAAGTTATTTATAACTTTGATATAAAATCACTGGACTGGAAAGAACACAATGCAGTAGCATGGTATGGAATCAGAAAATACATCTTAAAAGACGGCTTAAGTGATACAGTTAAAAATGTAAAGAAACAATATTATTACTGTATAGCTGATATGTTACTAAAACTCCTTGTTTTGTTAATGTTATTATTAATTATTTATTATGTATCTAAATGTATTCTTTTGTGTTTTATGTTAATTTTTTTCTGATTGAATTGAAAACAATTTTAATTACAATAATATGTGTAACGAAAATTTTTGTACCCCATTTTAAATGAATTAATTTGAAATTCGACATAGTTATGCCTTGTTAATCTGCCTGTGATTTATGCTGGGTTTCTGAAGTTTCCATTTAACAATTTGCGATACATTAGTGTTAGGTTCACCTGAGTTTCAACGGAGTTAAATACAGCATATTTCAGAATCGAATTACGGGATATCGAACCAAAAACGGTAACTAATAGTTAGTAAATCGAATACTGGCCACTTAACAGTGGTAGTGCCCGCTTTAACATCTTAGCACTGTAGGGCCGGCATTGCACGCCCGGTGAAATACTACGACCACACAGAAGACAGGCGTGAAATGGAAGCAATTCCGTATTTCGTCTGATGAGTGTGGTGCCGGAGGCCTAATTTAAGTCCCTTTCTCTTCACCACCCTTTTCTTATAAGGAGAGGATGAGAAGGGCGAAATGGATTTGACGGTAGAGGAGATGCATAGGAAGGGGCAAAGTCCTCTTTGTGTGCGGTTCCTCCTCCGTCGGATAAGGGTAGGCAACGCATCTGCAATCACGGATGTCTATGGGCAGCGGTCGCTTCACCATTTTGGCGGATTCAGGTGGCCGCTTGCTCGTTTGCCACCTTAAGTTATAAAAAAAAAACTGGGAGATAATTATTTAATAATTAAACGTGTTTGAATAACAAAAATTTAGTCGTGTAGATAAGTTACACGCAATAATATTAGATTCTAAATTACTTGGCACTAGATTAAAATACTAGCCTAGTGCAAACTAGACATTAAATTTGATGTGGAGTAGAGGATTTCAAAGCTCAAAAATAAATGATTTTATTATTATTGTAGATAAATTTTAAAGAATGTTCGACCACTCGTGGAAATAATTACATCCATAACTTGTTTATGATAAATACGCTTGAAGTCATTTCCATATTATATTAACAATAAATGTTTTAATTATGTGTATAAAATCCTCTGCTTTTTGTAATATCCTTAGTGTTAATAAATTTTCGTATTATTTTTTTTTATCTGTTGTGTTTCAATTGCTACTATTCTTATCCTCTTGTTTGTGGAAAATTTAATCTTATGTATTAAAAAACCTCAATTAAAGAAAAAACTATCTTATAAAAATGTAATTTGAATCAGCTTCTACCAACATTTACCGTGTATTTGAAGTAACTTTACCTTGATACAAAGTGAAGTGGGAAATTCCTTAAATATACAAAAGCCAACGATCTTTTCGCATTTCCAAATAATTAGGAAATATTGGATTTACCGAAATTCATGTATTCCCATTGACATATAACTGTACCATTGCTTTGAAACACCTTGTTGACAAAGTAAAGTCGCCAAGTTAAAAAATAAATTAGCGACATTTTTAGAAACAGAACTAAATACGCGTGTATATTCTTGCTTTGTATACGGGTCAAAGTTCCTTGTCGTGCGTATTTGATTGTGTATTCATAAATTCAAATAATTGACGTACGTGGCTCTTTATTTCATTTGCCCGCTATACTCGCACACATGAAAACTGGTGTGTAACGGGCCTTATACATTATGTATTCTTTGACCTTGTATGGCCGGACTCAATTAACTATCTCTAACTATCTTTTCGTTATCTAGGTTGTTTTTAATACCGATACTCACGAGAAACGATTTAGTAAATCTTCTAAACTATCATTTTTAATTTCCTCCACATATTACTATTGAAAGATATGCGCTGCATGACTTCGACCTGTGCAAAACCACGGCCTGACAAGATAGCTGTCAAGTGGAAGTAATTCCACATATTATTTTTATTATTTACTTTCTTTCCTGCCGCTGTAGTTCTTGCAGCAATCTTATTGTCTTTTTAGTTATATTTTTTTCTTTCTTTACCTTGTCTCTTGCCTATTTTTAGTTTATTTTTTGTTTAACATAATTTATTTAAAAGTAATTCCACGTTTGAGCTAATTAGTGTGCATACTGGAGGTCTAATTTTAACCTTATTCTTTTGTATTATGGGAAGAATAGATTTGGCGGAGTAAAGGTATCGGAGAGGGAGTTGAAGCTTATATTTAAGATATACATTCCAAACACATTGCACACAAAAACACACACTTGAGTGCAATAATGGTTGTATCTCAACTTCCCCCTCTTCAATAAATTGAACTATGTACTATTAGTTAAGGGAAGGTTGAAAACTAGCGTGGCCTTCAGCGACAAGATGGAGGCCGCCAGCTGAGCCTTCTCCTTTTAGCCAAGAACTGTTTTTTATTTCATTAACATGTTTTATAAATTTTGTTTTTTGGGTTAATTAATATTTTTAATGTATTTACGGTAGTAGTTATCGTCTCTCTGGATTAATTCCAATTGGACGTACAAGGTTTTATAAACCATAATGTCTTGGCTTCATTTTTATGGCCGCCTGTCGCAATCTGCCTGGAAGAGAAATTAAAATTATACCCAAAAAACTAAAAACACTTCAAACGAAACGAAAATATTACGAATATATTCGTTATCAGCAACGCAAATACGTCATCTTCCTAAAATCTGTAATTTTTTTTATTACAGATACTCTAATTTTATTATATATACGTATAGATGATGATGAATGAAGAACATTGGTAATAAAGTTTAGTGATACTTTTTACAAATATATTCTAGTATTGTTACAAATTATAAAACAAATAGCGACTTGCCGTGGTAAAGCACAAGTTCAGTGCTGATAAACTGTATTTATTTACATTAGAGACCTCTAAAGTTATAAATATTTCTCTACTAACATTATACATATAATCCTTCCTTTCGAATAACTCTGATAAAAAATACTGCATTAAAATCCGTTACGTTTTTTTAAAGACCTAAACATACATTATCGACAGACGAACAGCAGAATGTAATATGTAGTCAATTGTAATGATTCATTTTAATTTAAAATCGTGTTTTAGTAATGATTTCCTATATATTTAACCAATTAAAACTGTTATAGTTTGTTTGTTTGTATACAATATGAGACACAAACAGGAATTTAAATATTTTTTCTTACCCTTTCCAACCCAGCTGTTAAGTATACATTTTAAATAACCAATAAATTTAGGAGACAAAATTGAGATATCAATTTTTAAAAGCAATTTTGACGTATTTGGCTATATTTTATAACCATGACTGGGACATGGACAAGGTGTAAAAGTCAAAGATGGTATTAATTTTTATTAGCTACATAATTTAATAGTTACTATACATTTTTCATAGAAAATCTCCCTTATTCATCACTTACGACTCTGGGTGTTGCAAGACATTTATTAATTTGAAGTATATTTTATTACGGGAAGTGAAACTGCGAGGCGTTACTAGTATACATTATACAATGTCTGCTCGTTAAATCGAAAAAGTGTAGTTTGTTAAAAAATCATTGTATTATTAAGTGTTGAACTAATTAAACGTTTGATAGAAATTACTTTGTTTTTGGTGTAACCAAGTGAGTAGTTGTTGGTTGTAATTTAAAAAAATACACCGAGATAATATTCCTCGTTCATTATTAAGATTTTATTATCTAATTAAAGGTTTCTTAGATACCATTTACGTTACTTTTTGGTAGAAGTTAAAAAAAATGTAATGTAAATTTGTACAATATTACAAAGAAATATGAAATGTAAATAAGTAAAACCAAAAAAACGGTCAGTTTTTATTTTTGCAGGAAGAACTTTTATTCTTTTGAACTTAAAGTAACATTTGAATATGTATTTATTATTGTTTGCACGCGTTGTAAAGTCGGGTTAAAAAAATTAAGCATAGTAACAAAAACTTAAATTCCTTTAATTTAAAAACAAAACGATAAATTATTTGTGATTTACGGCAGCGTAGATGATTACGATTTTAATTTATTTTTTTATATAGTAATGGCGGAAACAATGTTAGCGTTAGAAAGAGAGGCTGTTATTCGTCAGCAGAATGTAGCAGATATGATCGCCAGTGGCGCCTCTAGCGTGGGGAAGTTCTACTCCGGATCTAATGTGTTTGTCACCGGGGGCTCCGGCTTCATCGGGAAACAGCTGCTTGAGAAATTATTCAGGTAATCTGTACCTACTTTCTGTTATGAACGATTTCTGTATACAACATAGTTTAATAAAAAAAATTCCATAAATTAAACATGCAAGTACCTACATAATGATAATAAAAGTAAATCTTTTTTTTCAGATGCTGTAATGTGAACAAAGTGTATTTATTATTGCGAGCAAAAAAAGGAAAACCCGCGCAGCAGCGCGTTAAACAGATTCTACAAGACCCTGTAATATTTTTTAAATCTATAAATATAATAAAATTGGAGTGTCTGTTTGTAATATCAAAAGAAAAATTCCAGATTTCGGAAAAATGATGTATTTGTGTTGCTGATAACGAAAACCGCATTAAATAAATTGTCTGTCTGTCTGTCTGTCCGCAATCCGCGTTTGTTCCGGGTAATCTTCGAAACGGATGGGTCGATTTCGACCGGACCTTTACTGGAGGGCAGCTGACATGGATAGGCATATTATAGGCTACTTTTTTTTAATTCCACGCTGTCAAAATGGTGAAAAGGGTTTTCCAAATTTGGACTAACGAAGTTGGCAGCTCGTGTATAAATGTATGTATATAACGTATAGCTTTAAGTAATTTTATCATTTGTTATATAGGTATTTGACAGTTTGCATAAACAGAAACCAACATTTCCGGACAGTATATTAGCAGTTTCTGGTGACGTCAGCGAATTGAGACTTGGACTAAGTTCGTCTGATTGGGATCTTGTTACGGAACAGGTTAGGCAGTTGATTTTTTTAACTTTTAGTAGGGTTTCTCTGCAACTATCTTTTGAACTGCACCAATAAATGTTATAAAATTAAAAGGGAAAAAGACATATTGGAAGGATTTTTGAATATTTAACACGATTGATACTTTGATCCTTTGACTATTAAATTTTGTTTTAAAGTTTATATGGCTAAGAGAAAAAAAAATTGAGATCGATTACTGCATTGCCATTATCTGTATGAGTAATAAGTAATCATGAGTAAATAAGTTATAAAGTTAGTATTATCAGATCTTGGTGAAATAGTAAACAAAAAATATTCACGAAAGTAAAAGTTTCATGATCTGAGAGAACATTAAAGACATGATTGTTTTAGGTGAACATAATTTTTCATACGGCAGCTACAGTCAACTTTAACGAGAGTATGAAAGTTGTTGCATTCACAAATGTCAGAGGAACCAGGGAGGTGTTGCGTTTAGCTAAGTGTTGTAAAGAATTAAGGCAAGTACTACTATATCAACATTTTCATCACCAGCTCATTATATGTCCACAAGTTAAGTGCTCTAACCACCGAGCCACCGATGCTCACCTTTTTCTAAATTGTTTGATAACAATCGAACGTGTAAAATATAGTATGTAATAGAAATATCGGATTTTGTTCCCTTATCTGATAGTGACGTCATTTTTAAGCCTTCTGAGCCTCTATCAGCCAGTGGTGGGAGAGGCCCATAACTTTGTAAACTTGTAAATGCAGTTTCAATTATTACCATTGGCTTTTTCTTAAAGATCCGCTTAAAAGTTTTTTCATCCAAACCCCCTTACCCACATATCTTGTTAACCCTTCATATAATTTCCAACATTGTCCATCCCTACCGGATCTTTTGGACCCCAGAGGTCCTGTATCTCTTTGGGATACAGTTGTATCAGTTTTATAAGTTTTCAATAATGTTTTAACATTGTATATTTCTTTTAGATCTATAGTTCACGTATCAACAGCGTACTCTCACGCCACCAAGGGTCGAGTGGGACAAGCAGTGAAGGAACAGTTCTACGATAGTCCTGTGCCACCCAATGCTTTTATAGATATGGCAGAAAATATCGATGAAAATAAATTGGAAAATATGATGCAACTGTAAGTTTTGTTGCATTGACCACTTGGGTTATAGGATTTTGCATCCAGTGGTGTATCTTGGATGTATGGATGTTTGTTAGAGGGTATAGATAGACCAAAAAGGGTACGTAATCCATGCGTTTTTGATATATTTTCCAGTGTGAAGGAGGACTGGCCGAACTCTTATTCATTTTCAAAGGCACTCGGGGAAGAGCTTGTACGTTGTGAAGCAGGGAACTTACCTATCACTATTGTTAGACCTTCAATTGGTAAATAGTTTAGATTTTCTTATATCTTATTTAATTTTATAAATGCGAAAGTTAAGATTGATGGAGAGAGATTTTGTAGTCTTAACTGCTGAACGGATAACGATAAAATTTAGCAGAGATGTAGAAGGTAGTCTGGAAGAACACATAAAATACTTTTGTTTTTTAAATTCCATGCGGACGGAGTCGCAAATTCGATTAGTATATCTTCCATTTTCTCTGTGTTTTATTAGTATCTGTATTAGAAAATTTGTCAAGATATCACGTAACCCAACAAGAGCTGTTTAAAAGTTATGATCTTTGAATTTTTCAGTTATATCTTCATATCGAGAGCCATTGCCCGGTTGGATTGATCCTATGAACTCATTGGGCGCTAGCGGAGTTAGTATACTATTATGTTAATTTTTCTGTTAGTAATGTGACCCTAATTACTTTTTTAATATCAGCGCTCGGTCTGACAAAAACACTTAAACATTTTGAAAGGTACCATTTAATAAAATTCTGTGTTCCAGCTTATTTTAGGATTAAGTACTGGTATTATTCACGTGTTGAAATCGCGTCAAGATAATGTACTGAGCCTAGTGCCGGCCGACCTCGTCATCAACACGATGCTGGTCGCCGGCTGGGAGACCACCAAAGCGCAGTCTAAGGAAGAAAATATTAAAATTTATAACGTCACTAACAATCGGAACTCGAATATATGGTGTAAATATTATTATTGCTATTACTATCATTATCATCTCCGTGGCCTCATCTCACTCACATGTAGGCGCACTACGTTCATAACAGTCATGTCTTGGCTTTATTACGGTCACCTGCCGCTTTTAATTTGTAACTACTTTACAATCGCTGTTGAAAACTGTCTATATAGAGCCAAGCCTCGATTATACACGGAGACCCATTAAGATAGAACCCGCTACAGACCTTCAGTTAAATCTGCAAAAATTTAACTGTACAACTAGTATTATAAACTAAATAGTTTGACTTCAGTGAAAATTGAGAGTTTAAGTTTCGGCTTCACAGGCAAGCAGTTAGAACTGATCGTATGTAGCAAGCTTAAACTGCTGTTTCATTACTGCTTTCGCTGAGATTGGTTGAAATTTGAGCAATACTTCAGGAAACATTTTGTTTAAATTCACATTTTCGGACAATTTCTGATAGTTTATGCTACTTAAAAATATAGTTTTCTTTTTCAGCGGAAATTGAAGAAACGCTGGATACTTTTGGAAGGAAAATGATTTCGTCTCGCGCTGTTTGGTATTGCTTTTCGATACAGACGGCAAATAAGATATTGTATACTTTACTATTCTGGCTTTTACATTTCATACCTGCATTCATCGCTGACACAGCTTGCAGATTAACAAACAGGCGTCCAATGTAAGTTTCTAAGTTATAAATATGTATTTGTTTAGCTACATTTTAGGTAATAACAATAATTGACATTGTATTGATAACAGATATGTAGTAGACAAATATGTAGGCTAAGGGCCTGTCCCACCACTGGCTCGTAGAGGATCAGATAGCTTAAAATGACGTTACTGTCAGATAAAGTTACAAAAGTTTCATGTTGGATTATTATTAGACAATTTCAAATTTGGTAGGACAGGTCCTAAAGATGCCTATGTAGAACTGACAGTTTTACAAGATGGCCACCCTACCAGTGGTCCGATGTCCGTCATGGACATAGAGTAAGCCTACAAATAAAAAAAAATCTCATGCACGAATGGTCCGCTTGCCCGGTACCTGCTGCAAACTGCCGTGAAGTGGAAATCATTCCGTAGACACACTGATAAGTGTGAAATAGGTCTAATTTTACTCCCTTTTCCCCCCATTTTGTTATAAGGATGTAAATAAGTGGATTTTAGGACGTCGCATAGAAAGGGGAAATGTCCTTTTTCTATACATCCCCTCCTCCGTTTAAGTTAAGCTATTGCGGATATATAAGGGCAGAGATGTCTTGGCTATTTCTGCGAATTTAGCTATTTAAAAACCAATACTATTTACTTCACTCACAAAGCTTGTACAAGTGTGCTAAAATGATTTACATGTGAGATTGCGAGCACCCATAAAGTTTGAATGGTATTATACCAACTTATTTGAAATGACGAATATTAAGATAAAGGTTTTTCTTCCAGGTTATTAAGTATATATCAAAAAGTATACAAGTTATCATCGGCGTTGGAATACTTTATTCTCAATGATTGGAAATTTCATGACAACAACACTCTCCAGTTACACAAAAGCATGTCGAGTATCGACCGCGAGGTTTTTAACTGCGACATGGGAAATTTAGACCGTAAGGAGTATTTAAAAGTATGGTTTTATGGAGTTCGCAAATACATCATTAAGGAGGCAGATTTTAAAAATCAAGAGGAAACTGATAGAAAACAATTTTGGTTAAAAATAGCAACATATTTTATATTCGGTCTCTACATTTATTTGTTTTATGTTATGTTAAGCTACGTTTATTCAAAAATTATTCAATTTGTATAATTTATTTTGTTATTTTATTTTAATTTGACTATTAAAATTAAAATTTCGACGACAACAGTCTTTTATTTCTGAAAAGATTTTGATATTGAATTAATATTATAAAATATATTAAAACAGGTTGATAAGGAGTTATTTTTCCCATTCCTTTTCCACTTTATCTATTTTGTAGTATACTACAGTACATACAACTCAGACACCTTATTCGATAACGAAATGCTGAATTAAGGAGATCAAAACGGGCTGACACTAATATAAATATATATATCAAATTAATGCGAATATTATAATAACTAGTATGCGAGTATTAAAATTGATATGCAGCTGTCGATAAACTATAAAGTTTAGTTTTAAATGGTATTTCGATATTTAAAAGGTATATTTTTACAACACTCCACTCAATCAGCGTAAGGAACCCTTTAACCGATTATTGATAAATTGGTTGCCGAGTTCTATACTAATATAAAAAAGGGGAAAGATTTGTATTTTCGTATGTATTGATATACTTTAATAACTGGGCCGATTTGGAAAATTTACACACACAAAAGCTAGGTTATCACTGAGTAACATGGGATATACAGTTTTTTTATTCCTCGTCGATAGTCACGAGCAACAGCTAGTGACAAATATAGCGACATACCACTATTAACAATATAAATGTTTAGATGGATGGATGTTTGTTATACTTTTTGGCTTAAATTGCTCAACGTATATTAATGAAATTTGGTATATATGTAGAGTATAGTCTAATAATTAAGTATTTTTTATTAATTCCGCGCAGACAGAATCGCGAAAGCTAAATATGATATATGATTAAAAAACGTATTAATAATTTATCTCAATGTGGAAGCGCTCCCAAAAATTTGCTGAAATATCGAAGACCGCTGCCTAAAGACATCTGCATCTGCAGATGAGTGTAATCTTCGGAGGACGCAACAAAAGATTTCCACTCCCTATGCGTCTGCTCCTTCCTCATCTTTTCCTTATAAGATAAAGATAAGAGTGGGAAGAGAAAAAAAATTAAGTTTACATGCACACTATTCAGACGAAACGCGGATTAATTTCACTATACTCCGTTTTTTGTGATAGAAGTGGGTGAGCAGGACCTACTATACAACAGATGTTGCTGGAAATGTACTTAATAGATTTGTCTACCGTGAACATTTGTTTTGCGATTTTGGCGGTCCGACCAGCTTCTCTCCAATCGCCTTAAATGGTGTGCCTTTACCAACCTACTCCGACTTTAAGTACCTCGGTTCTCTAGTCCAGTCCGACGGTGGCGTTGACCGAGACGTAAAAAGCCGAATAAATGCAGGTTGAATGAAATGGCGACAGGTTACTGGTGTGACTTGTAATCCAAGAATGCCTCTTAGGCTTAAGGGACAGATCTACAAGTCCATCATAAGACCTGTCGTATTGTATGGATCTGAATGCTGGGCCACCAAAGTTGCGGATGAAAGGAGATTGCATGTGGCTGAGATGCGTATGTTAAGATGGATGTGTGGTGTGACAAGATTGGATAAAGTTAAGAATGTGTACATTAGAGGAAGTTTGAAAGTAGCGCCAGTGGTGGAGAAATTGAGAAGCAAAAGGTTAGCGTGGTATGGACATATTATGCGACGAAATGATGGGGACATAAACCAGAAAGTGTTGAGATTGAATGTGGATGGCTACAAAGGAAGAGGAAGACCGAAGAAAGTATGGATGGATTGTGTGAAGGAAGATATGCTTAAGAAAGGAGTGGATTCAGATATGACGGCTGATAGAGATGTATGGAAGAGTAGCACATACTGTACCGACCCTCTATAAGGGATAAGAGCAAGTGGATGATGAGATTTGTCTACCGTGAGAGACTCAATTATACTCGTAGGATCCCACTGTCGGAAAATTTGCATGAAAAAAACTTTCTCTTTTAACTCGTTACATCTATACCGATCTAAAGCGTTTCCAATACAGTACAGTCATGGTTGACAAGGCTTTCAAACACATGACAGGCTCAAATTATTCTGTTTTTTCTAATCACAGAATTTCATTACATAATATGGAACACATTGTGGAGGCGTTAAACAATTGTAATTTACGCAATAATGAAAATAAATTAGTTGTAATACATAAGGAAACTATTTATACATGTGTACAAATACAGGATGATTCTTAACGAACGGATTTAAAGATTTGTGCAGAAGGGAAAAAAATATTAAAATTTTCTTAAATATTTTTTTATCACCGACTTGAAAACTGCGCCCATGCCTGCAGAATAAGATAAAACCTTGCGTTTGATTTTTGTGTAAAAAAAACGAATTGAAATAGTCGAAGGCAACTATCTCATGTCATTTTGATTAGAAATAGATGAAAATTAGATTTTTCAAAGAAGTCTAAAAAGAAAAATTTTGTGCAAGCAAAGCAAAGTGACGAGCGGCTTGCAGAATTTAATTTTAAATGAAGATCATATAGAAATATTTGAACATATTTCTTTATAAAAAAAGATTGATTAAAATACATCGGTAAAAGTCACGTGCTAAACCTCTGAGCCACCGATACTCTATACAAGCTGGACAAGCTCAGCTGCCATCTGAAATTGCAAAACAAGCTAAGCGATGGCTGTCCATGGTCAACCGAAATTTTTTGTAAATTCGTTGGTAACCAGCGCCATTTTTATGTTCCTAATTGTAATATAAGTTGAATTAGATATATGG